GTTGCGTCAAACGAGTCACATGTGGACGTGCATTGTCGTGGAGAAGAAGAACACCTTTCCGATTAACGAGTGAAGGGCGTTTCTGATGAAGGACTTGATTTAAACGTTCCAGTTGCTGACTATGAATCTCTGTAATGACAGTTCACTGAGCGTTCGAAATGAATTACTCCTTTAATGTCCCACTTTCTGCGGATGGAGTCCAGGTTTTGAGGTCGGAAGTGGTTTTTGTCTAGGACTGAGCCATTGTTTTTGGTATTTAATATTCGCATAGATAATCTATTTTTCATTACCGATGACAATTCTGTCCAAAAATGGTTCACGCGCATTACGGCGGCAAAAGAGACGAAGCAACGTTCTTGAGGCACCCAACACCTTCTTTATGAAGTTTTCCCATATTCCTTAGATGTTTACGTATTGTTTCATAAGAGAAATGCAATTTCAGGGCCATTTCACAAGTGTGTTGCCTTGGGTTAGACTCAACAAGCATCTTCAGAGTAAAACAAACAAACAAACACACAAGAAAGATAACTGTAAAGCTACTAAATATGGACTACATGATAGATACCATAGTAAAAAAACGTTGTTTATGAAGTAACTTGTGGCAGTACGTATATTGAAGAAACTTACAGACCCATACATGATCGAATATCTGAACATGTGCGTGATGGTAAAATACCAATACAAATATGAAGTAACGTTTTAGATACGTAACGTGTTATATTCTAAATAGAACGATGTTAGTAGTTTACTTATTGGTTTACACGGTATATTTGTTTAGCATTGTTGGTTTGATTTATCTTTGCAACATAAGTTCAATAATGTTTGATATTATTTTAATATAATATGAACTTTCTAAACACGTGTATCAATGTTCGATTTACGGATGACAGTGTTCCAATTTAGATTTATCTGCATTAGTGAACTTGTAGGACCCTCGATAGCTCCTGACGAAACTATAATAGCGATATGTTGAGCTATTAAAGTTACATTCTGAGATATAGGTCGTGATTTTATTTACGTTTATAGAAATGTCATATGATAAACTCCAACAATGCCTCTGTAGCCACAAAGAATATCAAAGAAGTTTATGGAAATGTTTGAACGTTCGTAAGTGTCAACGATGGTTCAGCAAATTTCTTTCCGGTGACTTTAGTCTTAAAAACTGTGATGGCAGGGCCCGACATATTGGGTTTGTTTGTTTGTTTTTTGAAGTTAAGCACAAAGCTACACAATCTGCTATCTGTGCTTTGCCCACCACGGGTATCGAAACCCGGTTTCTAGCGTTGTAAGTCCGCAGACATACCGCTGTGCCACTGGGGGGCTTTCTTGTGTGCTGAACTTGTTATTAATGATTTAAGGGAGATGCCTAGTTTTTGTACTATTTTAATAGGTAAGTCTGATATTCTAATTACTCTCTTTAGTTTTGTGGTGATATTATCACTAATATCTGGAATCACCCAAGTAGCCTGAGCTTTAAATGAGTTTTCTTTATTTATACGGTTCAAGAGAACATATCTCTTTTCTTTTCCTTTTGTCTATCAAAAGTTCTTATGTTTTGTATAAATTCCTGTCGATAGTCATTTTTTCTTAAAAGAGTCATCGGGTTTTCCCCCAGCCTCCTCCCACATTTCTTTGTTATTAACAACTTTATCAATCCTATGGAGGCAGCCAATAACGACTCCTCTTTTTAGAGCAGGGGATGATGAGAGTGGAAATGTCAACAGAGAGATTTAGTCGATGGAAATCCTTAAAGATAACACACGAGTTATTAATAGGTTAGAAAAGCTTTTATGTTGTTTGAGAAGTGATCTCATTAGTTGCACGTTTAAAAAAGAAATACAAACACGAGAACATTTGTGATAGGAATTTTAATTTGATTAAAAACATTCAGAATATAGACTTGAAGAACTGAATTAAAGGCCGAAGTGATGTTATCGGTAGGTTAGAGAAACAAGAAAGAAAAAACTCTGAAACGTAAGTCTGAAACCTTAGTTAATAAATTGTTTGTTTTTGTTTGTTTTTTGAAGTTAAGCACAAAGCTACACAATGGGCTATCTGTGCTCTGCCCACCACGGGTATCGAAACCCGGATTCTAGCGTTGTAAGTCCGCATACTTACCGCTGTGCTACTGGGGGGGGCTAGTTAATAAATACTCGTATAGTTACATCAATGAATCTAAATCAGAGAAATAAGAAACTCTCGTAATATAATCGTAGAAGATGGCGTTAACTTGGATGATGAAACTAAATCGTTGCTCAGTCGAGGACCGAATTTTACAATTCCAACTATACTAGATGATGATAAATAATTGGATATTTTATCAACTTTACAACAAACTTTCCATAAAATACGACAACAAGAAAAGCATTCTATGCAAAACCAGATTGGAAGTGGTAGAGATTTACCAGAACAAAGAGAAGTACACCAACAGTCTGTTAACCCACCTTTTGTCTGCGGTATGTCTGCAGACTGACAACGCTAAAAACCGGGTTTCGATACCCGTGGTGGGAAGAGCACAGATAGCCCATTGTGTAGCTTTGTGATTAACTTCAAAAAACAAACATACAAGAAAGATAACTGTAAAGCTACTAAATATGGACTA